TTCTTTACACCAGAGATGAAAAAGACAGAATGAGACTCTTCGTAAATGCATGTTGATTAAGGGATTTTCATTTTTATTCTTAAGAAAGACTAGGATAAGACAGGGCTAAAGGGCTGATGAGATTTGAATTGAATCAGTGGCCAACAGCTCGTACTGAGTCAGTGATACAGTACATCTAAATTTCTCGGGGAAACAAATCGTAGCTGAGTCTTGATGTTCTCACCGCACGCTAAGCATCAGAAGTTATATCTACAGCTTTGCATTTGTGTGGATACTGGCGGCAATAATGTTCATTTTTTACTTCCTTTCAGTTTTTTTTTGACAAAAATGCGATTCATCTTTCCAAATCCTCTTCCATAATTGTGGTATTAGTGACTTTTTTTTTCCTTAGCGATCACCTGTGCCTCGTATGTACTCATTCGCCAACAAACGCGGCAGAATTTTCCCGGAATTCGAGCGCAGCAAAATAAGAAACTAACTAACACATTGTTAATTGAAACTGTCGTTTCTGTTTTCTGTTAGCTACCTATAATTATTTGTAGCGCTGTGTTTGGATGGTCTTCAATTGAAGATGTAGCCAGTGACCACTCATACTATACTTTACTAGTTGTAAAGACTTTGTAATACTTCAACTCCATGGTAAATCCTATACTTTAAGCCTTTCGGTTACCTATGTTCAAATTAGAGCTTCAAAAATGCTGCTCTAAGTTTACTCCTTCGAAGGAATTTGACGACAACGTGAATCCTTATTAAGAGAGAGCCAGAGATTCCGCGCAACGAACAAACATGGACACCACTAATTCACATAACTATGATACTAAGCTATAACGTCTTAGTTTCTAAGAGTAGTTCTTAGATTTGATGGCCAACGGATGGCGTGGTAAATTTAATTTGTGATGAAGTGTCGTCCTTCAAACGACAGGTGACAATTCTACATATTTCTCCTCCTCGATAGCACTAAAATGAATAGGACTCCATGGAGCTAACTTTTGGATGGAGAAAATTAACTTGGATTGTAAATTACTAGCTACAGATTTTAAATTTATCCTTTAGACTCACAAGTTTAATTTGATGAAGGGTAGAAAAGTATCGGTTTTCTTTTGATTTTATGGAGCTCGGCGATTCGCGACTTTTGTGCCACCTTTACTGTGGGATCATATAGACTCAGTAGCCAAATGGTTCCCAGGCTGAACATCAGCTAAAAAATACCGAGTTTAAGCCTTTAAGGTTCAGTGCGTTTTATTCCTGGGCAGGAGGACACTCGGCTTGAGTTCTACAATGCATCTATCCAGCCAGTGATATGAAAGAGTACAAGAAGAACTACTGGGAAGGGAGTGACATTTGATAGATTGGTATCCCCCAAGGAAGAGTACTATGCCTTGTGTGGTACTGCTAGGAACTCATCTATTTAACATCTGAAGAAAGAAGGAATATCTCAGAAATATTGAAAAGGCTCCGCTGAAGAGATAAAGCGCTGTCTAACTCTACTAATTAAGTATGATTTATATCCGGCAAGAGCACGAAGCGTAAAAAAAAAAAAATGTCTAATCTCGAGTTTAAATCTACTTTAGATGAGTCATGAATTACGACCTTATCGTCAACACATCATTAAGGACAAAAAAAATTATTTAAACACCAGGTGGGATGGAACAGAAAAGAGGTTTTGTTCCTGAGGCTGAATGTTATTGCCTTTGTAAATGTAAATACTCATAAAAGAACTCTACTTTAATAAAAGCAAGTGTATTTTGTACTTGCAATTGCAGTTATGAAAGGTTCGCTCTTGTTTGAATACCTTTTTATAACAGTGTTAGTCTAAATATACAGAATGTCATTTCAAATTGTAATTTTTAAATTACAATTCTTAAGTAAATTCTTAATAAATTATTAAAAGAATTGACAGGAATTTTATCATTTCAGTTAAAGTTGCATCAAGTTTTAAGATCGATAAAGATTATAGAGCAAAAATTTCTTGAGCCAGAAGCGCAGACTGTAGAGGGGAGGATCGTAGCGTCACACTCTATCAAATTCTTTGGGCAAGTTTGATGTACATGGTTAGATGTGAGTTTAACCTGGTGTAGTTATCATGGAATAAACTTTAATGTTGATAAGCTGGCCCAGTGTGTGACTCTTCATATTTTGATTTAACATTTTTCTTTTTTGGTGATAATTGCCTTCCATGTTGATTCCATTGTGGTTGACGACGGTGGATGGAGCGTAGATCACTTGAGGAGGTCTGTTGAGAAGAAGATATTGTTTCTTATTATCATATCCCTGCGAGATCTTGTGCGCTTGAAGATGATTAGTACTGTACTTGCTAATCACTTTCAAACCAGCCAATCAGCGCGTACGAAAAGCGCTATTCACCATTGTGGTCTATACAATTAAAAAAGATAGCACAAGCTGGTGTAGCTTTTGGAAATTTATTCAGTCCTGTCACTAACTTGCTTAAGAATTTAAATTCCTGGACGAACTAATAGACTGTGGTTTCCCATTGAAAGTAGGGTGCAAAATATTAAACTTTTACAAAACATACATTTGATCTTTCTTACCTTATCCGTATAACACAACGCTGTGTTGTGTTAGATGGAAAGCAAGAGACTTTCCATTTGTAAGCGGAAAAATTGCCTTCCGCTGTGGTTGACGACGGTAGATGGAGCGTAGATCAGGGATCTCAGGAGGTCTTTCAAGAATACATACTGTTTTTTGTTATCACATCCTTGTGATATCTTATGTGCCTCGTAGGGCACGCCTTTTTCCAGCTTCATGTCACCCACATCTTTACAAGTGCTCAATACTCCAGCAGTCCTCTCCAAGTAATTTGTGATGAACCCTGCCAAGGTCCTTTAGCCGCTATACACCTGTCCCTGGTGATGTATTTGGCCACACATTTTTCAGCAACAACACCTTGGTTGTCTAAGGGGCAGTCAGTTTAATCTTTCAGCACTTTAGACATAATACACATATCTAAAATGGAAAGTAAGAAATAAGTATCAGAGGAATAGAAACGACTATGATCGAGTATTGCTGGTGATATGCCTTACATTTGAGCCCATAATTGGGACTATTAACGTATTTCTTCATCAGCCCCTCAGTCTTTTCATCGCTGACAAGGATAGCA